AGAAGAGGAGAGGAAGAGGAGGAGTTGGAGAAAAGGAGGAGGAGGAGAGCAGGAGGAGAACAGGAGGAAGAGGAGGAGGAGAGGAGGAGGAGGAGTTGGAGAAAAGGAGGAGAAGAGGAGGAGGAGGAGGAAGAGGAGAGATGGTTCAGTAGAGCTGGGCTCTCCTTGAGGGCTTCGTTCCTGGGCTTGACAACCCACATAACTGACCTTCAAAGGGGTCCCACCCTTTGGATACCAAGCCCACCCCACCCCACCCCCGGGTTCCTCCTCTCCCAGCATCCCTTGCGTCCAGCCCGCAGATCCCGAGTGGCTTTCCCTAAAATGCCTCCTCCTCCTCCTCCTTTCCCTTCCCTTCCAAGCTTTCAAGTTGAGCCCTCATGACTTAGTGGCCACCTCCTCCCGAGACTCCGAGGTGGCCCCTCCGTCTCGACTTGGCCTTGTGGAAATTCCCCCTGGATACACAACTAGGGGGAGCATCACAAGTGGGCGGTCCCAGTCCCCGCATCCTGCAAGCTCTCCTGGTTGAACTCGTCCTCCCTTTCTCCTTGTGGTCATTTCTCTTTCTCTCTCCCTCTCTCTCTTTCTTTCTCTCTCTCTCTCTCTCTTTCTCTTCTTTTTCCCAGTTTGCTTCTTCAGGCCTTTTCACTATTTGGCTTCTTTGGTTTCTGATCTAGTGGCCTTTATCACTTCCCGTAACAACAGCTTTAGTCGTACACCCCTCCTGCCTTTAAGGTGAGCGCCGCCCCCTCCCCTTGCTTCTTCCCTTCCTCGTTGCCTCCTCTCGTGCCCCCCCCCCCACCCCCGCCTGGGTACTGCTTCACCATCCTTTCGGGGATCGGAATACCGGGAATGCTTAGAACAGGGTTGGGGTATCATTGTGGCGACTTTACAACCTGTGGACTCCAACTCCCAGAAGTCATGCTGGCCCGGGAATCGCGGTTGTAAGTTGAGGATTGTAGTAGTTTTATTCCAATTCTAACCAGCTATTCGAGTCCCGTTGTGAAAACAGCTGGTAATCACGCAATCTGATTTTTTTTTTTTTTATGTCCTTTCGCTCACCGATATCAGATTGACTCCAATAACCGTGGAATGTGAGAACTTGCTCCCCCAAAATGCAAAATCGTGGGAGCTCCGGTTCTTTTAAGAAGAAACAGATGACAGATAATCAGAGTTGGCAGGGATCTTGTAGGTCATCTAGTCCAACCCCCCCCTGCCCAAGTAGGAGACCCTACATCATTTCTGACAGATGGGAGTCCAATTTCTTCTTGAAAGTCTCAAGTGATGAAGCTCCAACAACTTCTGAGGGCAACTTCTGTTCCATTGGTTGATGGTTCTCACTGTCAGAAAGTTTCTCCTTATTTCTAGGGTTGAATCTCTCCTTGATTAGTTTCCATCCATTGTTCCTCATCTGGCCTTCAGGTGCTTTAGAAAATAGCTTGACCCCCTTCCTCCTCTCTGTGGCAGCCCCTCAAATATTGGAAGACTGCTCTCCTGTCTCCCCTGGTCCTTCTCTTCACTAGACCAGCCAGGCCCAGTTCCTGCAACCATTCTTCATAAGTTTTAGCCTCCAGTCCCAGACTGGATAGCCACTTATCTGAAATAGTTTAGGTTCTCCTGCTGGAGCAGGGGGCTGGACTAAAAGACCTCCAAGGTCCCTTCCAGCTCATCCATTCTATTCTAATTCTAAGCAAAATCACCAAAGTTCTTGCCAAACCACAGTTATCCTTTGGATGACCTATCTCAAATTCCTAATCGCGGAATAAACATTTGCAACCGGCCTCCTTAAGTTTGAGTGTCAAAAAGACTCCCAGAATTCATGCTGACCCAGGAATTCTGGGAGTTGAGGTCCACAGGTCGTAATTTGGCAGAGTTGCCCACCCATATTTGAGCTTCTCAGGTCATGGCAACCCAACCTCTGGGCGACGGATCATAGTTCAGGGCCTAGTAGGCAGGGACTGAAACCTGCTTATTCTGGCTTATTCAAGACACCAAAGACTACGGATTATGGAAACCACCTTCTCCCCAGCAGATCTTCTACCAGTGGACACTCTTCTATTTAGTCTTCAGATCTGGGGTGGGGTCAGTTCTGAAATGGGGAAGCTAAACTGCAGGGAAGAGTGTCTACTGGGTAGGCTCCAATGCCCGTAAAATAATGCAATCGACTTTTGTCAATGCCCATTAAATGGTGCAATTGACTTGTCAACGCCCATAAAATGGAGCCATTGACTCCCTTTTTCAGTGCTCAGAAATGGCACAATTGACTTCATGTGTCAATGCCTATAAAACAATGCAATTGACTCCTTTTGTCAATGCCCATAAAACCATGCAATTAATTCATTTTGTCAATGCTCATAAAAAGGTGCCATTGACTCCCTTTGTCAGTGCTCAGAAAATGGTGCAGTTGACTCCTTTTGGCAATACCCGTAAAACAATGCAATTGACTCCTTTTGGCAATGCCAATAAAACGGCACCCTTGACTTGTCAATGCTCATTTAAAACAATGCAATTGACTCCTTTTGGCAATGCCCATCAGTCAGTGTGCCATCCATTTTTTTTAGGTCAACCTGCATAAAAAGTGGCAGTGCTGGGATTGGTGGCGGCCGTCTTGATATTTTTGGCCATATGCCATGGACAGCCCTGAATCTGCGGGTCTAACCTGGGCCTCTCGCTAACACCTCTCGGGCTCTACATCAGTGGTCCCCAACTTTTGCAGCTTGGCGGCCCGGCTGGGAGTGGGTGGGGAGAGGGCAACCGGGCCGCATGAGTGGTGGGCTGGAATGCATGGCTGCACGTGCATGCCCCGGCAGCTGGACTGCAAGTGGAGCTGCGTGCATGTGCACGCCCGCCCCGCAGCCCGGTTGCAAATAGGCCCCGCGGCTTGGGGGTTGAGGATGCCAACTCTCCATCTCTCCCCCTCCTGTCGTCACTGCCTCCTCCTGAACAGCTTTTCTCCCTTCCTGGCTGTAGGATGACATGCAGAGGCTCATTGACCAGCAGCTGATGGACCGACATCCTAAGGAATGGAGCCAGATGATGATGTACACCACCAGCAGCCACGGAGCCAAGAGGCGCACCCGGCCTTCGCCTTTGCTGAAGCTCCAGCAGCAAAGCTCCGAGCCGCTTGGAGCCGAAGGGAACCGCCTGTTTTCTTTTTTCAAGAAAAATTAATTGGAAGGGAGCGGTCATTGTTTCCCCCCCCCCATGTTCATGTTGGGTTGGGGACGGGGGAAGGAGGGGAGGAAGGTCAAGGGGGAAGCTGGGAGAACCTGGTGGCACATGGTCCCTAAACCCTGATCCTCCTGCAAGCTACTGCCAAAAGGCCACTCGGCATTTAAGTGCATCACACTCACTCATACACACAAACACCAGTGGTGGGATTCAAAAATTTTTTTACTGCCGGTTCTGTGGGCATGGCTTGGTGGGCGTGGCATGTTTTTGGTGGGCGTGGCAGGGGAAGGATACTGTAAAATCCCCATTCCCTCCCCACTCCACTAACCTGCTTTCCAGCTCCGTTCTCCTGTGCAGGGCAACCAAAGAAGACCCAGCCGATCAGTTGGGACTTGATGGGAGGCAGAGAAGAGATGGGGACAGGGCCAGTCAGAGGTGGTATTGGCCGGTTCTCTGAACTACTCGAAATGTCCACTACCGGTTCTGTAGAACCAGTCTGAACCGGCTGAATTCCACCTCTGCTTGGTGGGCATGGGAAGGGAAGGATACTGCAAAATCCCCATTCCCTCCCCACCCCACTAACCTGCTTTCCAGCTCTGTTCTCCTGTGCAGGGCAACCAAAGGGAAACCCAGCCGATTAGCTGGGACTTGGGAGGTGGAGAAGAGATGAGGACGGGGCCAGTCAGAGGCAGCATTTGCCAGTTCTCCGGACTATTCAAAATTTCCACTACCGGTTCTATAGAACCGGTCCAAACTGGCTGAATCCCACCTCTGGCACAAACACGCGATCTGTGAGGTCAGATTCACATTTACAGCCCCACTTGTCCCTCTCTTCGCCTCTTAACCGCCCACTTGGCTTAGACCCCAACCTGAGTTTCCTTCTATAGGTAGCCCTCGACTTACATCGGTCCGTTTAAGGGCCATTCGAAGTTACGATGGCGCCGAACAAATAGGACTCCAGGACCGCTTTTCACACTCGAGACCATGGCGGCATTTCCCAGGGTCACGCGATCCACATTTGGCCGCTTGGCAACTGGCATCGTACTTAACGACGGCTACGCCGTTACGCGATTCCCCATAGTCAATTGGGGGGGGGGAGTCAGATTCGCTTAATGACCCAATGATCCCCTTAACAACGGTGGCGAGAAAGGTCATAACCAGAGGCAAAGCTCCCTTAACAACAGTAGTGCCATGGACATGTTGCATCCCGCTGCGGTTGTAAATCGAGGACTACCTGTATTGGACATAGGCCCGGGGTGTCAAGATTGCCGGTTTCTAGCAGAGAGAAATTCAGGTGTAGAAAGACAGAGAGAACAATTGAGGCAGCGTAAAAAACAAGCAGGAGAAGATTTCTTATCAGCTTGTTGTTGTTCTGGGTTGCCTAGTCACGAGGTGGAGATAAACAATATTTGGGGATCTCCCAAAACATCCCTAGAAGGGATTTGTGGGGACAGAAAATCAACGGTGAGGACATTTTAGCACATCCTCAGTTATCAAGATCTTCCAACAGCAATCACGGGGGGAATGCTTGCCTTAGACCTTATCAACCCGTGAACAACCAGAACTTGTGAGTGAGGAGGCCCAACTCCTTCTGAAATCTGGACCGGGTTTAATGTCGGTACAGCCCCCCAAGAGTGAAGGAATCCTAGTTTGTAGCTAGCCTGTACGGCCTTAGGGTCCACGGAGAAGTCGAAATTCAAGGGAGAGGGCTGTCTGAAGAGCGTGGGGTTAGGGACGTGGCTCTTACTTCCTTGCCTTCTTTCAGAAACACGGCAGTTCCGATCAGGGGTGGGATTCAAAAAAATTCAGCAAGCGGTTCTCTACCCAGTTGCTGGGTGGGCGTGGCCATAGGGGGTGTGTGGGGCCTACCAGAACTTCCAGGAGGCCCATTTTTTGCCCTCCCCACACTCCAAAAGCTTCCCGCGAGTCTCTGGGAAGGCAAAAATGGCCTCCCCCAGGCTCTGGAGAACCCTCAATAGGCCCGTTTCTGGACTTCCAGGAGGCCCATGTTTTTGCCCTTCATGAGCCTCCGTGTGAACCCTGTGTTTACCTGCCGCATGGATACTCCAGGGAGGGGAGGGGTGAGCAGGGCCAGCCCGTCCTTGCAACTACCAGTTTGGTGAACGAGACATAAAATTAGCACCCGGTTCGTGCGAACCGGTGCAAACCGGCTGAATCCCACCCCTGGTTCCAATGGGAAAGCCTTTAGGGGAAACCACTTTTCCTTGAGATGTCCCAAGTCCCAATCCACAATGTTATGTTCCAGAAGCAGATCTGCAGATCTTTTTGGGGACCACCCAGTTAAGCATTATGCAAAGTCCGGAAAGGATACTTCTTCCTTATCCAAATCCATAACACTCATTTTCCATCCTTAAGTGTCTCCTGGTCCCCAGAGGAAGCCAGCTTGGAACTAGGGTAGAGGACAAAGGACAGAGGGATCTTCTCTCTAGACAGAAAAGGATCCTACTTGCCTCCAGGAGAAACCTTCAAAAGACTCCAGGTGTCCTCCCTCAATCTTGCCTCTCATGCTTCCTTCATCATGAGCCATCAGGCTACCTGAGTTCTACCTCTTCAGAGGGTAAAATGGCCCATTTGATCAGAGATTGCTCTTCCCTGCAACAATTGGGATACAACCCAGGTTGATGGGCTCGGTGAGAAGAACCTCTTGGTTCTAGAACCACCATTCTCAACCTGGTGTCTTCCAGGGATCTGGGACCCCTGTCCTGTGCAGGTTGACAATGAAGGAAGCCTGGCTCAACCCATTCTGGAAAACACCAGCTTAAGAAAGAGGCTGTGGGTAGATAGAAATCCAGTCTTCCTGTCACAAAATCCAGTATTAATATTCCATATATATTTTTTGATATGCACCTTATGAGGTAACTGGGCTGGGAACAACTTGACTGGCCCAAAATCACGCAGGGAGCTTCCATGGTTGAGGTTGGACTGGACCTGAGGTTCTTTATGTCTACACCATTCTGGTTTTGGGGTTGAGAAAGAATGGTCCAATGTCTTCCAGGGAGCTTCTGTGACCAAATAAGGGTGAGACTAGAAAGTGGCTCCATGCCCTCACTCTTAACACACCAGCTCTGCATGACTTCTTCCAAAATTGAGAACAGCAGCTCCAACAGAGCCAAGATCGCTGCTACTGAGGTCCTTTTGAGAGGTCAGGTTATAGCAGTTGGAAATGCAACTCTGCAGATCTTTAAAAATTAGCATCATGGAGACAACTTCTTAACAGCTTCTTAATTTAAAGTTCAAGAAGGAGGAGGAGGAGGAGGAGGAGGAGGAGGAGGAGGAGGAG